CACAAAAGTTCTGGCTATGAATATAGAGCCCAAATACCAAAGGGAAGCCATTAATAAAAGCTGTTTGCAAGGAACCTCTATGCTTCATTATGAATTGAAACAGGAGCTTTCAGAAAAGTGGGGTTTCTGAAGCTGGATTTAGGGTCCATGGCAAATCTTCAGGGTGGAGGGAGGCGGTTCATGCCTTTGGCCACTGTCTAAATAATCTTTGCTTTTTGGGAGCTCTCTTGAGCTGAGGATTCCCTGCTCTCTGCCCCCTACAACTTAGTGGGGTAAGCACTCTGACAATATCTCTTGATCCCTATTCTCCCTGCCTCCCCCCAGAGCACTGCTTGCTGCGGAATGACTGCCCTTGCAGAATGTATTCTGCCTGGCCAACTTTATTACATGGCCACCATCAATCTTGCCCCTAAAGTGACATTTGTTTATGACTGGGTGGGAAGGGCTAATGGCTTCAGCAACCAGCTCTGAAATGAGTCTAGAGGAGTCTGAAGAGAACACTCTGCGACACCAGACAGGATCCAGTGGTGGGAATTGGTCTCAGAAGGAAATGGGATCCCTCCCCAGGAACTCCGGATGTGGCATGGAGGTAGAAAGCAACTGTGACTTCAACCAGCCTTGCTTCAAGTGCCACCAACAGTGAGGAAGACACTGGTATCCAAAGCCTGGAGCCCCTGTGGATGCCTCTGGGCCCTCTTGGACGGTCTGTCCAGGCAGCCTGGACCAGTAGAGAGGTCAGGACCTCTGTAGAGTTTTGCACCATTAAGAACAAAACAAATGGCCTTCCACCTTAAAAACTGACTCTCCTCTGGGGATCTGAGTGGGAGAGAAAAGGTCTTATGTCCCTTATTTACCTACCAAAGTTCAGGGGTGCCCAGCAGGGCTATAAGGCATTCTTGTTTCCTGACCCCTGTTTCTGACCCCACAGGAAACAGCCAAGAGCTTATGGGCCACCAGCACAATTGAGCCTTATTTCTCTGCAAACATTGATTATTAATGACACAAACTGTGTGGAATGATAAATAGTAAAATGCATGCTTGCTTGCTTGCAATCGCAGGAAGAAAGGACGGCTAACTACACAACTTTGGAAGCAGCAAGCATTCCTACCATGCAATATGCCAAATGCAAACTTTCAGATGCATGTATCACGCTGGCATTTGCTAAGAAAATAAATGTGCCCACTGCCACATAAATGACAAAATGTTATCCTCAAGCCACCTACAGAGGTTAACTTCAAAATTAGCCAAGTCCCTATTGTTGGGTCTTGTTCATTTCGTGTTGCCAGCTAATTTCAAAATGTACTATTTGTTAGTTAAAATACCAAGGAGTTTTCTTCTAATACTTTACAGGAAAAACATATCCTTATTACTGAAAAGTATGGATCAAACGTGCAAACCACTAAGGAATCAGTAGTTCTTCCAGATTAAATAAGTCTGGCAGGAGTTGGTTTTTCTTAAATGGGACATAAGAATCCAAGTGCAAATATAGTGACAGTAGAATCCACTATATTGTGGTTTCAAAAGTCAGAATAATGAGTAGAACGTTTGACCTTCCACTCAAACATAGCAATTCCTGTAGAAATTACTATCTTTGCTATAAAGGTATAACACAAATACCTTCCTGGATACATATGTCTTCATGTCTAATTTTCAAAAGCTGGAAACCAAGAGGCAAAACTGGTTGCTCAGAAGCCTTCCCCATGCAAGCACTTAAACGCTGCCCTTGGTCCACTAATGCCAGAATACTCCTACTGGTTTCCTCTCCAGCCACAGGGACTGGAGACCTAGAAAGGAGGACCAAGGGGCGTCCGAAGCCCACTCCACATCCTGGCGGGACCAGGAAGAACTCACCCAGCGCTCCCACTCCAGCTCAGGCCACCAGCGCTCCGTTGGGGCACCAGGGCTAACCTTTCCAGCGAGCCCGCCTCTGTGTCCTGTGACCCAAGGCTCTGGGCAGCAGAGTTGATATTTCAAGGGCCAAGACTACATCTAGGCCCCAGGCTGACTGCAGCCGCAATGCCCTCGGGCCACAAACCCCAGGTCAGAGCTGCAGAGGGTCGTGGGCACGTGGACCGGGGGCACTCGGAACCGGGGCCCGCCTGCACGCCTCTCATCCTTTTGGCCAAGCGACTCCCTCCTCTACCACTGCGAAGTGATTTGTGGCCTCTGTCAACTGACTTCACACTCCCGAGGGGACGCAGCCCTGCCTGGGAGGCTCGCTTAGAGCCCCAGCGCTGAACCGGGCAGGTCCGCGCGGCCAGGCCCAGGGGCCCCGGCCGGGTCCTCCTGCAAACCCGTGGCTGCCTAGGCTGCGGGCTGGCGCGGGGAGCAACGGAGTCCTGTGACCTCCCACTCTGGGTGAGCTCCCAATTACACGTGTGTCTTCAAAACAAAGGCGGCGAGCAGTGTGCACGGGAAGCGCTGTGCCCGGTGGTCAGAGGGTGAGGAGCAGAACCCGCCGCCTTCCCGCGGCTCCCCGCCTGGGCGCTGGGCCGTCCGCCTCACGCACAGCCCTGCCCGGCGCCCGCGCTCCCACCCGCGCCCCCAGCCCAGGTCTTCGTGGGCTCTGTTTTCTCCCCAAACAGCAGGTTTCAGGAGAGGCAGCGAGGAGCCGGGGAAGGGGCGGGGCGGGGGCGAGGTGGAGAGGAAGGAGCTCCAAACACAAACAAGCACCGGGCCGCGGCGGTAATTACCGCTAATTAGCTGCCGGGCTGCGGGGGGAGCGGCGTCCGGAGGCCGCGTCGCCCCTAGGAAAGCCGGCCGACAGCCGCAGGCGTCCGGGTTCCAAAAGCTGACCCAGGCACATCAGAGGAGGAGCCGTCTCCGCTGGTAGAGCGGCCCGGTCTGGACATGGGTCACCCGGGCGTAAGGACTGCTGACGTCTGGTCACCTGCTGCCGCTTTCCTCCCGGGCCTGGACACCCAGCTCCGGCCACCAGACCCTTTGTCCTCAGACGGCGGCTCCACGCTCGGCTCGCCAAAGTGGACCAACGCACACTCTACGAGCTTTGTCAATGGTCCTTTCCTTTCATCCTCCACGCAAAGCGGGGGCCCCCGAGGGAGCGCGTGGCAGCGGGGACTTAGCGCTGCGACGGCCGCGGGGGCTCACAGCAGCAGTGCGGCCAGTCCGCAGCCTGACGGGAGACACCGTGCCCTGCACCGCAGCAGTCTTCCCTGGCTATTCAGTTACGACTCTGAGCAAAAAAGACCCGAGTAAATCAGAGGCCATGGAAAGCACTTTTTGACTGAAATTAGAGTGTTTTTATTTGCAGCAATCCTTTAACAACGATCAAATTTTGACAACAAGCAACAGCAATTACTGCTAAGTGTTGCCTCTAGATAGGAGCGGCAGATAGCAGGAAACTGTATTATCTCGAAAACAAACTGAAAGGCCCTGAATGTCTGTAATCAAATCACCATCTCCCTAAAGTCTGATTGACAGGGCTGATCACCCTGAGATAATGAATTTATTACATTTCCTGGGCTATTTACAAAGGGGGAGGGCCAATCCGATTGCCCCCTACGTTTAACTGTAAATTAACAAGAAAAATTGGATTGAAAAAAAAACAACACCCTAGACTAAAATACACTGCCCCTCTCTCCTTTCTTGTTATTGCTTTATAGCCTTTTCAAAAAATAATTGCTCTACGAAGATATCTTCTAAAATAGTTTCCCAAAGATTAAATTCCCCTTTCCAACACACAATACATTTTTTAAAAATAATCCTTCATCATAACACATGGAGGATTGTAAATGTGGATGTCATATATACATACATTTAAAATGGTTTATTTTTCCTCTAATAAAGGAGTGAAAAATAGGAAAAAATCTATCTTGTGTTTGGTTCGCAAGGATGTATAATACACATCCTATTTTTTTATGTGCTACACAAGCCAAATATGTATGTCTCTATCTGGAGGCATGTTCACCTCTCTGGACACACAGATATCACTGTGGTAAAGACTGCTGATTCATGGGCATACAATTTCCAAATCATGTTCTGTCATTACTGAGAAAATGTATTTGTGTATGTGCCAACTCAGATCTGTTTAGGGAAATACATTTTAACTAGCCACAAAGCAAGCTAACTATATAGTACAATTTTGCAGATGCTGTAAGGGGAAAAGTAAACCAAAAAAGACTTATATGTGAAATTTGATAGGAAATAGTGTTTCTCCATTTTTTCAGAAACTTAGGAGGAGAACAGGTAATTCCTAGTGTTTTAAGCTCTGAAATATTTTTTTCTTATAATAATTAAGGCTGTATTGAAATATCCAGACATATAGGTGTCATTCAAACTGAATGGTAATTTATTAATAAACAAACAATAGATATGTTCAACAAAAAGAAAAAGATGATAGAATAAGATTAATACAGTTTCCCTTCTTATAATGAAAAAAAGGCACAAAGTAAGTTTCAGGAAATTTAACGTCAGGTTTTGGAAACACTTTCTGGCGTTTGGTCCACGACATCCAACTACAAATTAAAAATAAATTACTATGTTGAAATTTACATTTAAAAACAAGTCCATGAATAAAAAGAAAGCGATTTTCATATACGGGGACTTTTCCCCTCCTTTCAACATAGGATAAAACAATATCTTACAGGTGAGAGGTGAGGGAAGGAAAAGGGCAAGGGCACGGGGGAGAGGAGGGAAAGGAAAGCGTGCTCTCTTAAAAGCAAGAAGAAACTTACGTGTTATCTGCAGTAACACTGTCCTTTAATAAACCATGATTTTGCTGTCTCTGTGTAAAATGGTTTATGGTTTTGTTTATTTAGATAAGGCAAAGTGGAGGTGGCTCTCAATTAATCTTTTAAGAAAATAGTTTTTTGTGTGCTGGTGAGTTGAACTTTTGGAGGGATTCTGTTCGCTGGTTTGGTTAATATTTTTCAGGTTTTTTTAATTGTAATTTTTTTTTTGGTTTCGATTTTGCATTGATGGTTCTTTTGGTTGTTCTTGCGCTGGGGTTCTATTCAGTTCGTCTTTGAGGCGGTGGGGTGTCAAAACTTGCTACAGTCATAGACGAAAGCCCCAGATGTGCGGTACAGAGACTGGCTGGAAGGAAAGGCCATCTGACAGCTACTGTTCCCGTTCACTGGAGAGTTGTTCAAGCCGATCCTCTGGGACTCGAACATCTCCCGCACCGAGTGGAAGTTCTGCTGCTGGCTGGGGTAGCCTGCGGCCGCCGCCGCCGCCGCCGCGCTGGCCAGGTGGCCCAGGTCTCCGCCCGCCTGGTTCAGGTACCACGAGGTGAGGCGGCCTTGGTGGGCTGCCGGGTGGTGGCCGGCCTCCTGACCGCTCCCGTGACTCAGGGAGGAGGCGCTGCTGCTAGTGACCGGCGGCAGAGAGTAGTCGGGCAGGGGGTCGTCCACGGCCGATCCGCCGGCGCCCCCAGGCGCGCCCTGCAAGTGGCCACCACGCTCCCCAGCCGCGTACAGGCTCATGGCCTGCAGGTTGCAGTGGTAGGTCCCTGCGCCCCCCGCGCCGCCGCCCCCGCCGCCGCCCCCGCCAGAGCTGCCGGCGCTGGAGCTCTGGCTGCAGGGGGAGCTGTAGAGGGAGCCCTGGCCCGGCGAGTAGGCGCCGAGCGCCAGCGGGGGTGCGATGCCCGCGCGCGAGGACCCGGCCGCCGAGGCCAGGAGGCCCGAGCCCAGCTCCCCGGCCGCGCCCTGCGGCGATCCCCGCAGCGAAGTCATGATGTTGTCCACGCTGAAGCCCTGGCTGTGGTGCGGCGGCGCGGGCTGTGCGGGCGGCGGCTGCGGCGCGGGCTCCGCGCCATCCAAGCTCAGAGGCCGCGCGGACGGCAGGCTGCCCGGGGGGCTGCTCCCGCTGGACAGGCTGCTGCTGCTGCTGTCGGGGCTTTCGATTTTGGGCACCGCGGCGCCGCTGCCGCTGCCTAGGGCGGCGGCCGGGGACAGGGGCTGGGGCGGCGAGGGGCACGTACCGTTCTCGGTTTTGATGTCCTGGATGCGCACCGGCGGCGGCTGCGGGCCGGGCCCCTGGCCGTCGGTCTGCTCTGCCGGCGCGGGCGGAGGCTGGCGGCCAGGGGGCGGCGGCGGTGGCTCCTTGAGGTGCAGCCGGTCCTTCTCCTCCTTGTCCTTCACGGCGTCCTTTTTCTTGAAGCGCCGCCGCCGCCGCAGGAAGCTGCCGTTCTCGAACATGTTGTACGAGTCCGGGTCCAGCGTCCAGTAGCTGCCCTTGCCCGGCTTCTTGTCGTCGCGGGGCACCTTGACGAAGCACTCGTTGAGCGAGAGGTTGTGGCGGATGCTGTTCTGCCAGCCCTGCTTATTGTCCCGGTAGAAAGGGAAGCGGTCCATGATGAACTGGTAGATGCCGTTGAGGGTAATCTTCTTGTCCGGGGCGTTCTGGATGGCCATGGTGATGAGCGCGATGTAGCTGTAGGGCGGCTTCACCATGTCCTTGGGCTGCGGCTGCGGCGTGTAGGGCCCGTAGGCGCGGGCCATGCCCCCCGGGTACTGCTCGGCGTGCGCCGGGTGCGAGTACACGCTCATGGGGGCCGGCATGGCGGTGTAGCCGCCCCCGGCCGCCGCCGCTGCCGCGCGGTAGTAGCTCTGCTCGCCGCCGAGGTAGGGCACCACTCCCAGGGAGTTGGGGCTGGACACGGAGTAGCGCGCCTGCATGGCCCCCGCTCCGCCGCCCCGCGCCGCCCGCCGCCCCCCACCCTCGCTCAGGTCGGCCGCGCCGCGCCGGCCGCGCAGTCCGAGTCCGGGCCTCGCGGAGCGGGTGCCGGGCCGCCGCCGCCCGGGGCCGCCAGCTGCGCGCGGCCTCTCCCTGCGCTCGCCCCGGCTCCCGGGGCGCCTCCGGCCACTTCGGGGCCGGCGCTAGGGGAGCGGGCCGGAACGGGGCGCGGCAAACGGCCCTGAAGGAACTCGCGGAGCCACTTCCAGGCGAGAACGGAAAAAAGAGCCCGAACTGAAGAAAAAACAAGAAGGCGCCCTTCTCGCCACACCGCTGGCTCCTTCCCGGAGACTGCCCGGCCGCCAGCGAAGGCGGCCAGATCACCAGGGCGGGGGGCCGCGCCGGCCGCCTTCCCGGGCCCCGCGTCACCTTTTTTTTTTCTTTTTTTTTTTTTCAGTCTCTTGCGCGCGGGCCGCTTAAGGAAGCATTGGAAAACTTCTGAACTTTTGAGCATCCGTCACCCAGGCGAGGACTTTTTTACGCAGTTACATTTTTTCCGGGCAGCGGAGCCCCGCCCTCCCGCTGCGGCAACAGCCAATGGGGGGCGAGAACCGCCTCTGAGTGAGCGGGAGGCCGAGCTCGCCGGCCGCGCGGGGCCGTGGGAGGACCGCCGCGCTGGCCACACGCAGCCCGCCGGCGGGGTCCCGAGCCCCAGTCCCTGCCCGGGCCCGGGCTGCGCTCGCACCCCTCCGCCGCCGGCCCGGCGCCGGCACCGACTCTCACCCCGGCCCTCCGCACGGACGTCCATTGTTTTCGCAGATTTCCTGAGCCCTCCCGGGCCCCACACAGACCCTTCCTCCGTCCACTGCTCACAGATGTCACCGCCGAGTCCTGGAGTTCCAACTCGCGCTGGCTGTCTCTCATTTCTTAGCCGATCTGGCCTGCTCCAGCTTTGGGATTCCCCGGCCCCTCCTATTTCCCCCCCTCACCTTTCCTCTCTCCCCACTTTCCTCCTCTCCCGATCGCTCCGTGCACTCACTGAGTTCACAGACGTCTCCAGTTTTTCCTCACCTGGAGCTTTTGTCCTGAGCGGGGTTACAGATTGTATGGGCTCAGTCACAGGCGTGCTCTGTGTATGGTGGGGAAGGAGTTGTCTCCCCCACCTTCCCCACCTCGCCGTCCCCATGACCCCTCCCCAGTACAAACAGGAGGAAAGGGGGCTTTGCCGGGAGCTTCCGTCGGTGGCTCACCCAGGTAGGCTTCGGCTGCCCAATTGCGGGACGCCCTGCTCTTCGGCGCCCTAGAGCCTTTGGCTGCCCCAGGGCGCTTGCGGGCTGCTGAAGCCAGGAGGCTTCCTGGCGCTGCCTTTTGGGTAGAGAGCGGGGTCCCTCTGGTTCTCGGCGCGCCATCCTCTCTTGCCCTGCCCAGCTCAGAGGAGGGGTCGTCAGGCTTTGGGCTCAGTGACATTAGCAAGTGTAATAACGAGGAGCAAATAAATCAATCCAAGAATTTAACGCGTCCCGGTTCAGTCTTCATCCGCTCACACGCGGGGCTGCGGACTCGCAGAGATAACGGATGTTTGGGAGAAATGCTCAGAATCACCCCCAAAGGGTTCAAGGATTGGGGGAAAGGGGGATAAGTGCAGAAGGCGCATCCTTGTGCACATGCCTGAGATGTGAAGTTTCTGCTGAGTGGGATGGAATGGGAAGAGAGAAATGAGAGGGGAAGGAACGATGGGGCAGGAAAGATATGGGCCTTGCTCTGCCGGCAGCGCGATTCTGTATTTGGGCACCCCCAGAAAAGGCCCTCCTGGAGACTGAGCACTAACTGGATCCTTGACCAGAAGCTGCAGAAACTGGCGAGTGTAGGAGACTGTGAAGACAAGTACCAGGATGCTATAGCTCCAACTCGCCCGATTTCTGACCATCTTTAACTGCAAGGACGTGTTGGGAGTCCCTTTTGGCCTCCCAGCTGGAATCTCAGCTTCCTCTGCACAAAATATCTAATTGCAGCTTCAGTTGGTTGATGCCAAGAGTGCTGACTTGATTTGCAAGCACAGCTCCGTGTCTCTTGAACATTAAACAATATATATTGTCTTTCATAATGGGCGTTTGGTGGAGAGAAGAGAGGACCTGCTCCTTCCAGAAGAAGCCTGGAGGAGGGCTGCCCAGAAACTCCGATTCCTGAGGCCACTGCCTCCTGACCTGCTTTGCACTTTGGGCCACTTAAACTACTTTTTCAGGGTGTTCCAAGGCCAAGTTGCTGATGGGTTGGAAGAAACACTTGATTTACCAGCAGGAGATCAGTTCTTGGTAATCACTTGTGGGGAGAATAAGGGAGGAGAAACCCCCAGACTTGTAAAAAGAATTCGTAGCCCAATAGCCTGACTTAGCTCCTTTGGCCGGTCTGTATGGGGCTCTCTATCCTCAGCACGGAGGCCAGTTAAGGAAGTGTTCTTCCTAAACACCTCAGCATTTGGTGGATTTGGTCTTTAAAATACTTTTCCGGTGCTTGCGGTGTCCATGGGCAGACAGCGATGGCGACTCGCTCATTTTCCGAATGTGGGAAATGCCTAAGGGGCAGATTTTGCAATAGACAGTCGTGCTCTGTAGTGTCTCCCCTTCTTCTCTCCCAGAGCGGGAGAGTGTAAACAGCCTGTTATGTAAATTGCAAATCGAATAGAAATGGAGCTCTGGGCTCCCTGCTTCAGATATAAAAGTTGCAGTTGTGAAATTAGTCTCTGGCATGCAGGGGAAAAAATAGAGGGGTGCAGTTTTATAAAGATCAGTTTTCCACTGGTTTAGCTCTGGACATTAGCCAGGAAAAGATGTTTGCATTTGTATTTATAAGCTTACTCGGAAGCAAACCTCCAGTAAACGGTTTGATTGTATTTCAAGTAATTATTGTTGCTAGAGTCGTTGTCTGAACATTAAGGTGTGAATATGAAGTTTTTGGGGGTATGAGTTAAAATTTTTATTTCCAGGTTAAAGTTTTTGATGTCTTTTTCCTACTCCACGGGTTAGTTCAGTCACTCGTTTCCCCCACAACCCTTGACTTCCCTGGCAGAAATGCCTGCAGGCGACAGCGGTAATAGATGTTCGGTGGGACTGTCGCTTGGCCAATCCCCGACCCCCATTCCCTCCCTGACCGGCCTGGCGGGGTTAAATCCCAGGGGCCCAACATAGGGTTCTTTGCTCTGAGGAGGGGCGTGACGTCATGGCGACATTTAAGACAAGGCTTTCCAGGGCCCTTTCAGCAGAAAAAGACGAGGAGGGGGACATGCCCGGATTCGGGAATTGCCGGATTCGGGGATTCGGGAACTTGGACTCAGTGTGTGTGGGTGTGTGTGGTGTGGGTGTGTGTGTGGGGGGGTGGAGATGGTGCCCTAACTCAGGTCCCTGGGAGGCAGGCGCTCCTTTTCAATTCAAGTAGAGAGCAGAAGGGGGAAGGGGTCAGTCCAGGAAATTACTCACCTGGGGCGGTAGCCCAGTCCAGAGTGCACAGACCCCTTGGGGAACTTTTCCCAGTGTGTCCCTTAGCCATGGCCGGCCAAATCGCCCCATGGCGTGCCCAGACCCCCTTCCCGCCGCCCGCGGCCAGGCCAGCTTATGCACCCTCTCGGCTGAGCTGTGTGTGCCCAGGACGCCAACCCGGGGCGGGGGGGGGGGGGGGGGGGCGTCTAGGATGCGCGCTGGTGCTGCTTAGGAGTGAGAGGCGCTAGACCCAGAAGCTCTGGGAAAAGGAACCTCGGGCATAGAAGGTGAGGGAAGGGCTTCTCCAGATGGTGCAGCGAGCTTTGGGGGCTCTGCACGCCCAGGAGGAGCCTGCGAGTCCACAGCCGTCTAGCTTATGTTTTCCTGCTCCGAGAGGAACGGGAAGATTGAGGCAATTGCCAGGACAATGCGATGGAAAACTCACTAGACTGAAATCACAGACAATTGGGGCAAGTCGTTTGGGGTTGTGTTTGAGTTTTTCAGAGAAGTGCTCCAGTTTCCCTTGCGGCCTCATTTATGTGGACCAGAACCCCAGGGGTAGGGGGCACATCCTGGTGCCAATAACCATTCTTGGTTATCAAGCTGTCAGCCTGGGAGGTAGCGTTTGCCATCAGCGTTACTCCAGCTAAGGGAGGAGGCAGGAACCAAAGTCTGGGCGACCCCATCGGATGGATTTCCTTCTTCTCGCCTAGTTGGGGGTTTCTGAGTAGAGGTTCTGTGGTGGCAGTCCTTCTCATTCAGCCCCCTTCTTCGCAGAAAAATAATTCCTACAATAAATAAAAAGAGCGTTTACTTTTTGATTCTATTTTAAAGACAAAGTAATCCACGTTGCCCGTCTCCATGATTTAACTAGCTGGGTAGTCGGCCTCGTCGGGAACCCGCCCTGGAAGTTTATAAGTTGGGTTTAATTAATGACATCCCCGAGTCCCCAACACGGGCCATCCCGCTAGTTACTTACGAGGGAGAGAACGTGCCAACATCTGCTCGTGGTTATCCCCTGGTGTCGGCCCACCTGTTGGCTCTGAGGAAAGCCAGTCTCCCGGAGCTTTCCTGGGGGTTCAGAGCCGCGCCGACCAGCAAGAAAGAGCCACAGGGCTTGGGGGAAGTAAATCTTTCAATTTTGGTGCCTGGTTAGAAAGACGGGGGCTTTCTTTATACAGGTATCAGCAAAAGGCGATCTGAACCGTCTCCATTCATTAACAATCAGGGAGAAGCTTACTGTTTGTAAAGGGGCGGGTGATCGGAACAGATTAGTTGTGTGCGTGTTTATTCCCACCCTGGTCTCCGGCTGACTCAGGCAAAGCCGAAAGCGGGACCTCGAAAGGCAGAGGCGCCGCCGCCTTCCCGCTTCGGGACTTGGACTCCTGGCGACACGCGTCGCGCGGGGCCGGCGCCCTCAAGCCGCGCATCCTGCCAGCGAGGCGCCGGGGCTGCGGGCGCGGGCGGTCGAGGACAGAGGGGCCGACGCCATGCTGGGACGAGGGCAGAGCGCTCCGGCACAGAGGCGCCTGGGCTAAGGTGTGTTAGCTCTGATCGGCGGACAGACCCGCAGGCAGTTTGGACCCGCAAGCGGAGTGAGGCCGGCTGCACCTTGCTGGTTGCTGGGCACGTGCCGTACGGGCGGCGGGCCCTTCCCTGGGGTCCAGTGTCCTCTCTCACCGGCCTGCACGCCAGAGCCGCTGCCGGTCCTTTCTCCCACCCCAGAGCGGTCTTGGCTGAGCCTGAGCCTCGACGACTGAGAACCTGATCAGGCTTGGGGAGGCGCCTTTCCAAGTCCCTCATCCCTCATCCGGGCGTCACCAGGCGCGGCTGAGCCTGTGTGCGTGAGGTGCGGGCCCCCGGGCCTGGTGTGAACCAGCCGCACCTTCGAGGGAGCAATTGGTTTGCGCCCCTCAGGACCGGGACAAGGCTGGCCAACTGGCTCCGCGCAACAGGTCCCCGGAGGGCGGTTTGTCCTCGGTGCGCTGGCAGCTGGAAGTGGTAGCCCGGTGGCCGAGGCCCCTTCTGTCCTCCACAGGCT